TGGGTTGTTGGCCCATATAATTATTCTTTTGGTCCAAATTTATTTTGGAAATATTTTGTTGATTAAGTCAACAAATATTATATCTCTTTAATTGATTTTAGCGTTAAAAAAAAATTATGGGTGATGGATTTTTTGTAACTGAAAAAATCATCCCACGTTTATTGTGAAATCAGTTTCCATTACTCCACTTTCCTCTCCACATTAAAAGCTTGTTAGAAGAACAAGTCTTCCTCCTCTCAATCGATACATAGAGAAACAAAACAATCTCCTTCTTCTTCTTCCCTCTGGTTTTTGAGTCAGAGAGTGCAACACAGTTTTAGGGTTCGTTAGATGTTGATTTCGAGTGATGCGAGACAACATGATGAAGCAGTTTTATCCTNGGATTCTTGAGCGTATCAAACCGGCACACTACGGGCGTTTAAAGAATTAAGAAGAGAGATCTTAATCTTGACTCTGCTCACCTCAATTCCAAATCCGTTTACAGTAGTTTATTGGATGTCTTCATATTCATATTGTTCTACAATTTGCTTCTATGATATCAGTTTGCCCTTGTAAATTTTGGGTCTAACAGTTGTGCCACATTTAGGGTACATACCAAGGATTATATCGATGTCTTGAGCCTTGAAACCTCTCTGAAAATTTAGGATTGATGGGAGAGTGTCGTAGTAGTACCAGAATCCTTGGTACATGCAAAGCTTATTCCCTTGGAAGTCTATTATGGAAGGAAGCGAAGAGATTAGAGTCTTTGTTTCTTCGCTTAGGTTCATTGGAAACTCTTCTTCATCCATTTTTGGTTGCAAATTATCTTTTATTTGCTTTGATTGCTTCCTGGATTTGAACTTATATAGATAACGTGCTAACATGTTGTAAAAAAAATTTATATTCTCAATATTATAGTTTTCTATCCTTTAATTTTTCAAACTAGCTTCTAACATCGTCACTTATAATTCTTTTTTTAATTATGAATTACGTGTCGAATAAATTTTGGGATGAAACTATTTTTATATGGTAATTATATATGTAACAACTATAAAAAAATATCATGTTTAATTTACTATATATATTGTAAAACAATGAAAATTTTTAATTCATGAGTCCATGACATATAAATCATGGAGTAGTCCGAGTTATTTTAGTAATGTATATCACAATCCTCATACGTGTAATTATTTTTTTTTTACGTAAGTAGATAAATTTTATTATTATATCAATTTATATATAAGATAAAATAGTTAATTGAATTGTTTTCAAAATAATATAGAAAATCAAGAAATAAATAAAAGAAGTTGATTAGTTTTATAATGTTCTATAGATTATATTCCGTTATGTGTGCGGAGATTAATTTTACTTTAAAATTGTATTTCGGTTTCTATTTTTTTGTATAAATATTTTTCATTATAAATTACGAATTTTGACTGTATTTAATAAAAGTCCAGCTCGCTTTAAATTATGAAAGTCTTTTGTTATCGGTTGTGAAGTTGTTTACTAAGTCTATACAGCGACATCCGGATACATAGGGTATAATTTATTATAGTAATGAATATGAACAATAAATTGAAAAGTCGAGAAACATAATTTTCTTAGGAAATATTATGTATACCGGTTGTGACATATCAAATTATCTATCTAGTAATCGGTTTTCTTTTTCATACTGTAGCTGTTGGTATAAAACCACGCTCTTATTTCCTTAGTCTTAAGAATGATATGGTGATAAGAAGGGGGGGATCCGTAGGTAAAATATGACACATGGGAAAAACTTGCAGCTCACTAGAACTCAAATTACAAAGATATAAAATCATTCCACTAACTCGTGGGTCTGATCACTATATTTTTACCACTAACTTTGAACATTTACTTGTTTGCATCCTATTGCATTACTTAGACAAAATTATGTTAGGGATTGAAGAGCATATTAAAAGTACAAAAACACATTTATGTCTAGGCCAACCCCAATTTCTCAATTCACCTTTACGTCTTGGCAGGTCATAATTATGTGGCTCCTAAGCCGATTAAATGGAGCGCTTCAACTACGCTTGTTAAGCAACAATATTCCATCAAAGCATTAGTAATCAAATCCTGTTCCTTTTGGTAATACAATTCAAATTTTATCAAAAACGAAGAAGAAGAAGAAGTATGAAAGCTAGACTCGTACTCGTATGTTAAGGTAGCCATTGAGAAAACATGGTATTATATAGTTCCATGACTGCTTGTAACTTGGATCATGAAGATATTGTATAATCGATTTCATGGTTAGGTGACTTGAAACCCTCAGCAGTCAAATACCTTGGCATTAACATTGGACAGGGATATAAGCAGTTTTGAAGACGACTACAGAAACCATAAACTTAGAGTAACTAAACAGATAGAAGAATTTCAAACTTCTTGATGGAGTAATTTTATTTCACCAAAGGGTACTAGTTGCAAGTCCACATGTACACCTTGACTCGTATTTCAACCATATATACAACTAGATTAGGACCCGCGATACGGCGGTCAACAAATTAAAATTTATTAATATCAAAATTTAAGTTTTAGTTAGTAACCCGTTAAATTATAAAAATATTTTGAAATATTTAAACATGAGTCTTAAACCATTAAAATTTAAGTTATATATTAATTCTCATGTCCTAATTCATATTATGTAGATCTAGAAATATATATACATCAATGGAATTAANATCATATCCTTAATAACAAAAAAATATTCTTACAACAATTAACTATATGATAATTTCTTATAACAATTAAAATATTATAGAGTTAAATCATAAAATTATACATTTATGTCACTAATCGCATAAAAACCTATAAAATGTTTTATAATAGTTTTATTAAACATTATATATAAATCTATCATTGATAAGTGTCACTGTGTCATCTATTTATTTTTCATAGAGATCTATAATCATCAAATCGTACACTTTGGATCTTAACAGTAAATATATTATTATTATTATTTTATAATATGTATAAAATAACATGTATATTATAATTAAAAAAAAATCATCATTCATATTTTTTTTCTTAATTGAAATTTCAATTGCCTCTCTAATTTTTTATTGTTATTGTCTCTCTATTTTTTCTTCCTAATTTTATTTTTATAATTTGTTTAAACTATTATAATTCTTTTTCTCCTAGATATTTGAGATTATTAGATTTTTTTTGTTTACTATTTTATTAGTTGTTTGACAATTATTTTATTCGTTTTCCATTTTTAATTTTACCTTTTCTTAATTAATTTTAAGTTTTAACACATATTTTTATTAATATTTGACACATGTCACGATTTGGTGAGTTATAATTTTGTTGACATGTCAAACTCTCGTCAATAATATTTTTCTTACTTAATTATTTTTCTCTCTAATTTTTTTTTTATGGTTTACACTCTCTCTATTTTCTTTTTTAGTTTAATTTTATATTTAGTTTAAACTATTAGATTTTTTTTTAATCTAGTTAGTGTGGACTAAATTATATTCAATTAAATTTCTAAAATGTTCATCTATATATTACTAACCAAACTTAAAATTAAATATATATATCTCTTCACACGTGTGAATATATATTGTATTATGTTAATGCAGTTAGAGAAAATCAAGTCAAAAGGTTAAATTCTTTGTCCTAAACGATTTAAACACAAAAACGCTTTACATACAAGTCGTGTTTTGCCTAACCAAGAGCCGAAGAAGAATGGTCTAGAGAAATCCAAGTCTCAAAGAGTGTATCATGTGGGCTAAAGAACATAAATGATGAATAATACATATATATGTGGTGTTTTTGAACGCTCAAATTAGTATTTTAGACCATACGACTTGGTGCAGAAAAACAAAAAAAAAAATATGATAGACTTGCGTTAGAGATACAATTTTAACTTGTAAGCCACAGGTGAGATATTTTTAACACATATAATTATATTATGATCACGTATACAAGTGTTAATGATTTTAAGTTTACATTGGATATAGTGAAAATGAAGGGATTTCAAACTAGGTACATTTTTACACTCTTTCTAAACATAAAGATTTAGCTAGGTGTCAAACCTTGTTACAGAAACAAATCAGATTTTTTTTTCTAAAGATAAATGCAAATGTGGAAGTATTAATTATATATAGATGTAAGTATTACCATTTGACACAAGTAAATAGTGAAAAAAAAAACAAATTTGTGTACTCACATTTAACCCAAATTTGCATAAAATTTGTTGAGATACCCTTGAGAAAGTATCTCATTTGAGATACCAATGAATCACCCACTCTCTCCTCAAAAACATGATACTTGTCAATTTATAATTGGTTCTCATTTCTTTTTCATAATTCATATTTTTATAGTTTAGAGTATTAATTAAAATGTTTATATGTTGTTATTATTATCATTTTTTAAAATAAAATTATCTAGATATCAAGCTCCATTATGCATAAATATAAATTATATATTAACATTATTATTAATTCATATTATTTAAAGTTAATACGAAATATTAAATTAATATTGTTTTAGATTATATATAAAATAATATATTATTAAAAATGAGATATTAAAATATTTAATATAATTTTGACTGATTTTATATAAAAATAAAACTAATACAAAATAGAAAATTAATATTGTTTTAGTTAATACAATGTTAGAATATTTAATAAAAACTAGGGTTTTTATAATTAAAATTATATTTTAAAATGTAATATGATATGTTTACAATTATTAATGAAAATTTAAAATAAAAATTTTATGTTAATAATATGAAAAATAGTTTATATTTTTATAGATGAAATATTCATTGGGTTTCTCATCTACCTAATGGAGGTGAGATATTAAATAGTGAATCTCTCAACTTACAATATTAGAAC